TTTAGTTATTATCTGTCTTTGGAGACATTGTATGACTAAAAAATTTAATAGTTATAAAAAATAAGTATAAACAATAAGTATCTAAAGTTGATAAATATACACAAAAAAATAGATAAAATTACCTTTAAAAACATAACTCAAAAAATTTTAAAAGTATCTAAACTAGTTTTATAGAAAAAGTGAATCACGGTAGAAATCACAGTAAATCAATACAAAACTATCCACAAAAATCATGGATACTCTCTAGTTGTTACCACAAGCACAATCTCTTTTTGTCTAACAATAACAATTAAAATCTATTACAAATTCACAATCAATCACAAATTGTAGTCTTATTTATTAGTTTTTTACTATGCTCATCTGACCATAAACAATACAAAAAATCAACATATTAAATCTAATAAAATTTCACTAAATAGAAACACTCAACGACCTAAATCAGACCATAAATCACTTGCTTTCAAATCAAACACTCAACCAAACCATCAAACATTGTCAAGATTTTTGCTTTATGTGTGTGTGTGTGTGTGTGTGTGTGTTAGAGTGACAAAAAATATATGGTTAAATGAGTACGGTAACAATAAAAAACTATTAAACTTGTCCACTATTTTAGTAATTCACATTTGGGTCAAAAACAACTTCATACAAAAATACCTAACAATATATGTAAAAGTTTTTTACCAAGTTTTAACTTCTCGCTACAAATTTTCTCTCTAAGAAAAAACAACTTCAAATGAAATTCAAGTAAAAACTTGGGTTTTTTGTAACATTGATTCAACAATAAAGGGAAAGCAACTGAAAAACTTAAAAGGTGTAGGAAAATGTTTCCAATAATTAACAAATGATAAAGCTAGTGTTTAGTGACAACGAAAGATTTGACATGAACAGTTCAAGAATTGCTCGAGCACATAAAAAATATGTTTCAACAGAAAAAAAATCCTACTAAGTTATATCATGTTGAATTTGAACTCTGATAGGATCACCTAATCTAGACTGCAGATACCAAGATGCAACCTGTAACCTTAGGGAATTTCAGGGGTGATGTGTAGGAAATGGAAACTCTTAACAGTGTTCATTTTTTCCCCTGCCTTTGGTCAAGGATGGAAAGGGTTGTTTGATTCGAAGAGGGATTGAAGTGTAAACATAAACGAATCACATCAGCCTTTTGCTTTGCTTAACAACCCACACAATAGGGCCATATACTAATTTTGTGATCTGAAGCACTATAGTAAGCTCATACTACCAAAAGAAGAAGTGTAATGAGCATGAAAACCAGCTATAGTAGATTAGTGAAACTATTTAATCAAAACCACCAAACAACATGATACAAAATTTGATTTACTACAGCAAAACACATCCAAACAGACTATAGTGCATCAAAATATAGATCCGCAAAATAAAAAGCGTCAAAAATCCCACCAAAAAATGTGGGAGTCACCAAAAATCATTCACGTGCCTAAGCTTTCATAAGTAAGAACAATTTGTTGAATTCACTCACTTCCATGCACATTTCATCAAGAAAGAAAAATAAACAATCATTAAAAGATAATTATAGCATGCACAATGTTAATAGGAGGTTTACTTCCCCTAAGTCGGCTATTACAGAAAAAAATATAGTTTGTATTGGGTTTTGTTGAATATTCTCCACCCAAGTGAATATGAGTATGAGCTTAGCTGAGTAAAAAGAGGATCAATAAGCTTGATCATGACAAGATAATTCTCAAGGATTGGCCGACTACTTTTATTTGACTATTACAACATCAATTTCAAACTCACCATCTTTCCACTCAATCAAGGATGTTTTTCATTTCTTTTTCAACTACATCACCATTCAAATATGAGAGTGTTCATGAGGAGATGAGCTTGGAATGTTCTAAGTTACTACACCGCATATTGTAACATTTTGAAGAAAGCAGACAGTGTATCGAATCCAAAAGGAGAAATTGACTAAGAAGCTCCACGTAGAGAGAAACAACCTAGGGTTGAGGATGTCTATGTAGATGTCGACTAAAACTTTGATGAAGCTACTCGATTCCAAACTTCGGAGTTCGTAAATTTTTGAAAATTTTCTCTTAGGCCAGGGCTTATTGAACAAAGGTTGAACACCATAGAGATCATTCATTCAATTGTCACCAATTTCACCAATTGTGGGTGGATCTGAATGTTTAATGACCCCATGACCTACAATGATAGCATTTTTAGAGAGTTCTATGCGCATATTCGTGATCCCAATCCTTAGGCTGATCACTTTGTCAATTTTGTTAGAGGTATCAAGATTACATTTTTTGCCACTCTTATTGCTACCACATTTGGCATACCTGGGGTAGATAACAACTACCTTAATGAGAGATCGATAGATAACTTGCCACCTTTGAATGTTTTTGCCACTGAGTTATATGGTATTGACCATCCTGAACATTGGGTCACATTGAATTTTCTCCAAAAGAATCTAACCCCATCTTATGGCCAACTATAATGTAGAACCGAAAACCCATATTTTAGACTTTCCTATCCAAAAGGAACACATGCTATATGCCATAGGAAAAAGGTTTCACCTTGATTTGCCGATGATGATATTTGGGTTCATTTGGAGATCCCTTTTAGAAGGGAGAGTATCAGATAATCTGTTGTTTGGATCTCTAATTACGCATATCTTCCATGTGCAAGGAGTTTTTTTCTTGCAGAATGAACAATTGTAGAACCCTATGAGGGCCTTGAACAAGAGTTTAATGAAATAGAGTAAGGCTCAGACTGATTACGCTGTAGTAGTTAAGGAGCAAGTCCCACATGTTCATCCTGAGATTAGTACATCTAGGACACCACCACCACCACATGAACCTAGTTCTGACATCCTTGCTACTCAGTTAGCATCGTTGGTAGATATGTTTTCGGGTATGCAGCATCGTATGGAGGAGCATCATCATCTTACTTCATAGCAACTAGATGCATTGGATGGAAGGATTGTGAGCATAGAGACTGCTCAGCAAGTGGTCTTTGTATCTTTTACCAGGAGAGTTGGTTGATTACGCTAATTGATCAAAGGTAAGCAGATTATTTAGGGGCCAGTGCGAGATGAGATAGATTTAGATACCGAGTTACCCCGACATGATGTGGAGCAGGAAATGGTAGAGATGGTGGAGATGCAGCCATTTGAGCTATTAGTTTAAAGAGACTTAATCTAGGTCATATGGGAGATTTAGAGTGGTTTACTTCATTCATAGCCTATACTAAAGTACTCTTTACTTTTTCATTGTTGACTTTTACTTTTTGTTGACCTTTATTCGTTTAGTTATATTTTGTGTGTTGTGACACACTCTTAGTCCTAGTCTTGTTGTTCTTATCATATTTGACTGAGTTATATGTCTTGTTTGTCTCTTGCTTATTTTACTTACATGCTTTAGCTAGTTGATATACATTCATACCTTCTTGTCATAGTATGGTTCTATGTCATGATTGTTATATGTTGTCATTGAGTTGACATTTGTGACAAAAAGGGGGGAGAATATTTTAAATACATAAGAGATGAATCGGGGAGATTTACTCTAGACTTGGCCATGTATGTTCCAGGTGAAAGTAGAAAGACAGAGTTTGTTCAAATACTCGGGGAGACAATCTATAAATTTGGCATAAAGTCACCTATTTTTATAGTTTTTTATTTTACACTTGTAATTTTACTTGTGAATACAAACTAAGGGAGAGAATTTGACATGTTTCATATTGATAAATCAATAAGTTTTCAAGCATATTGGACAAGTTAGTTCCTAACATGTTACATATTTACACTTACATAATGTATACATACGTATGTCCTATGCTTAACTTGGTACTTTCCAAACTTGTGATTATGTTATGTATTTTTCTAACGTATGATACTTTTCACTAGGTTTTAGTTTGAGTGGTGATATGTAGGATTATGTGTTTTATATATATACTAGTAATTTTTCATGTCTGAAGGCATTGTGTTACTTGTAAAAAATGAACAAAAATAAACAAAAAAAATTTCAAAGCAACAACACATATACAAATACACCAAAAAAAAAAAAATTAATAGAACCAAATCAAATTTACAATCTTTAAGTAAACAATGAAATCAATAAAATTTTTCTTGTATTTGTCACCATTACCATAATCCAATTTAATAACAAAACATAATTATAAACTCAATCCACTCATGTAATAAATATTTCAAACAAAAAAACTGTCCACAAATGCAACCATCTACATAATAAGAAAAATCATTAAATTCCATATAATTTTTGGCAATATAATTAGATCTTACTTTTTAGAATTTATTCCCATTAAGTCTTAAACTCTATAACTTCTATGTTTTGTTTTAATTTTACCATGATCATAAAAAACATCTATTACATCTTTTGCACAAAACAAAAACTTTTTTATATCTTTAGAGAGATAAATATTACAAATTTACACGACGAATGAAAGACTGTAATATCCATTATATAAAGTGGTAAAAAATTCAAAAAAATAACTCACAAAAATAATTTTATAACAAAAACCATCTAGCTATGAAAGGAGCTATTTGGTGATGTGTAGATTAAATTAGACATGAAATCTTGTGGATCTGAAATCTTGTGGGCTGGTGTTCAGGAATAATCTTTTTTTCTTTCTTTATCCATGAATACACCAAAAATGATAGTCCTTGGGCAGTTCCTTCCACATCTCTGTTTTCCACACTGACCACAGTCAAATAGAACATGATCTCTGTGATAATATGTGGTTACCTGCACTCCTCAATATTTACGAAGCATATTTGATTTTTTAAGTATGATTATATTGAAACAATATAGTTATGTAACAGTCATCTAAGTAGTCAAAGTTTCGATCTTTCCAACAATATTTTCTTCTACAATTATCAGAGAATCTCCTATCACTTTTTCTCCCCTTCCATGGGGTTCTATGAAACATAGAAGCTACTAACCTAGCCATTAAATCTATCTCTTTATGTAAGATTTTGAGCTTCCTCCTTGTGCATTGTTGTTCTATGTAGAAATAACTTGGCTGCAATGCACCAGTGAATAGCTGCAGAAGAAAATATGACACCTCTATGGAATTAAATTTTGCATTGGCCAGCTTCAATAAAATGACAGTAACAGTCGCATGATCGAAAACATCCACCAAGTGAATTATGTAGTCTTCTACAAATTCCTTTAGCTCTAAAGCCCCCCCAATCACGAAGCCCCAATTGGGTCAATGGCCAACTCAAAAGGAAAGTGTGTGTGAATGAGAGAGAGAGAGAGAGAGAGAGAAAGAGAGAGGTGTATACGATCTCAAAAAATATTGGAAAAGAAAGCAAAAAGGGAAACACATGACATACCTATAGACCAAAAATATGTCGACTGGTTGCCGTTTGCTAATCAATGCGAAGCAGTATAGCTCAACGATGTACCAACTAAACTTCTGAAAGTCTAGCATAATCTAACCCAACCATCATAGGGGGAAATGGGGGCGAGTGTGAGAGAGGCAGAGTGGTGGAGGTAGAGTGCTAACAGAACTCAGATGTAAGACTACTGAGCATGTACGGTCATAACGTGACGGGGTGAATTTGATCCTTTAAGATCAGTTCTTGAAAACATTTTGCTGAAAGCTCCAAATTCCCACTGAAATATAATAATAATATAACAATTCATATTATCTCAGAATTATCAATGAAAAATACCACAATAAACCTTTTCCATGAAAACTACTTGATGACATTCTTTTTTTGATAAATAGCACCCATATTATGACTTGTTATTTGACCTTCATCTCCCTTAACTAAATGATATCCTAGAGAAGATACAACTAAAAACCCTCACTAACAAACTACTATTTTGCCTCTTATTATGCAAATGTCAAAAGAAATAACAGAACATATTAATCGATTGGTTGATGTTGAATTGACAGAGAGAAATGACTGCAATATCCAGTTACCGAGTAAACTCTATTCTTTTTACAAAAGTGTTTCTATTATGAAATGGAAGTCCAAGTGCAGTAACATGAAATTATGCACTCCAGCTTCTGCAAGAAACTGAAGAAGTTCAGTAGATTATAAGTCGCCTGATTTAGAATGAAGACAATTTCCTACCACCCAATGCTAGAAAAGATGGCCCATCATAAGGGCATTAAAAACCTTTCACTATTGCATCCATAAAAAACCAATATGTGTATACACACACACACACACAAAAGAAATGGAGGCAAGTTTCCACTTCATATGAGTTTCTTGTCAGATGTGAACATCGGAAACCAACTGAATGCTCCTTGGATACCCTACCAACATATTCATGTGGCATGTAGGCTTCTTTTTATCCTAAGAAAACTCATAGACACAAACCACAGACCTACTTTATTTATTGTTTATTTTAGTTTCATTTCAGGGAGGAGGGGAGGTGTGAGATATTCGTTGCTACCTAGTAAACATTGCCTAGGACAATATTCCAGTTCTTGTGAGCCTCTCCAATACTTCCAAAAGTCTAACAGGGAATCACAAATCAGAACAGAACAGCACTACTAAATACTACAACAAACATGTTTCCGTCGTGATCTCAAAACGTAAACATTTCATTTCATAGAAGAAAAACAAACACAGAAAACCATATTAAGCTATGCCAATCGAGCTGGATATTTCATCGAGCAGTTCTTTGACAGTCACAAAGGCAATCACAAATCAGAAAAGAAAAGCACTACTAAAGACTAAAACAAACATGTTTCCATCATGATCTCAAAACGTAAACATTTCATTTCATAGAAGAAAAACAAAAACATAAAACCATATTAAGCTATGCTTATCAAGCTAAGCATTTCATCGAGCAGTTCTTTGACAGTCACAAAGGCAATCACAAAACAGAACAGAACAGCATTACTAAACGATCTGAAACAGAAAATGTAAGCATAATACATACACACACAGAAATGTGAATGTCCAAAGCGTACCTGAAACAGAGGATCTTCTCTGTCTGCCCTTCTCCTATCCTTCTCTCTCTATGCCTTTCATCTGTCTCTGTCCACTCTAGTCGTCCAAAGCGTTGTCTTGGCTGTGACTTTGCTGGTGGAGGATAAGCAACCGCAGAAGATTGGCAGAAGCGTGTATGAGTGAATGGGTGAGATTTGAGAAGGATTCATGTGAGAAATTTTGGGGATGAATTTGAAAGGCAGGATAAGGCGTGAAAGATCGGGAGAGATAGGCGTGAGAGGGAGGTCTAAGTTGGGCAGGAAAACAAAAGTTAGACCGGCACATTAAAATTTTTGAGATAATACGAATAATTTTTTATGTTTGGATTACGTTATTTGTTAGATATGTTTATTTTTTTTTTAAAACGATTTAAATTTCTTTTTATCTCTAAAATTTAATAAATATGAATATATATATATATAGTATTGTAGATATCAACGCAAGGGTGGAGCCACCTTTATGCTCGAGGGGTACATGTCCACCTTAAAAGAAAATTTTTACCCACCTCATTTTTTAATCAAGACCAAAAAAGGTATAACATATCCATGAGTTTACTTATAATTTTAATATTTATTTTAGTAATTATCACCGATATAATAGAGAATAAATTTTATTGTGTAATCGAATAAATGATAAATAGTTAAGTGATAATATGATTGTAGATATAAATAATAATAAAATTAATGAAAATCTTTCAACGTATAAAAAATCATCGAAATCAATTCTAAATAATTTTGATTTTGCTTGATAAAAAGATATAATTAGCCCTTTTTTTTTGTCATTTGTATCTCCTATGTTATCAATTTTAGTTTTTTAAGTCTAATGAACTATTAAGAATTAAATAGGATATAATTAAATATAAATACATTATTCTATTATTATCAATTATATAAAATTATATAAAAAAAATTAAACTTATTAAAATATACAGTGCCTACCTTGAAATAATTTTTTAGCTCTGCCCATGTATCGAGCCCATCTTATGCCTTCTTGGTTAATGTCTGTTTCCATATAATTCCGTAGCCTTACTCCAATGCTCTCCTTAGTATTTGCATTCATGCTATTGAGTGGAAGGTTGTACACTTGGATCCCAAAGGGACAGCTCCTAATCTAGAATTTGGATGGTTGGATTGTTCCATCATAATCCTGCATCATCACTAGGTGGTTATCAAAACTCCAGGGTCTTCCCTCGATTACCTTTTTCTTTCCCAACCAATTGGTAAATTGGAATACAAAGAGATTATCACCAATATCCTTGATATCAACCCCCTTCGAGTTCCAGACCAAGTTCATAGTATTTTTGAAGGCCGTCGTCTTATTGAAGGGTTTTGTGGTGGGGATTTTCCCAACCGTACATAGTTTCCCTTTTTCTTGAAGCACCCCATCCTCTCCATTGGATATGTTCAAATCCGTTTGTTCCTCCTCTAACAGATTGAAGGTCCATTCGTTGTCTTACCAAAAAAAAAAGGTCAATTTGGTGTACTTTAATTATATTGAATACTAAATTGGTGATAATTCGATTAACTGAATGTTGGTTTGATAACATTGAATATTAATTCAAAGTTAATTTAATGAAACTGACTATTCATTTGGTGATAGTTTGATAAAAGTGAATGTCGATTTTTTAAAATTTAATTTTAATTTGACAAAATTTAACGTTAATTTAATGACATTAAAAGTTAATTTGACAAAATTGAATATTAATTTATAATTAATCTGATAAAATTAAATATTAATTTGATTTAAATATTTTAATAATTATATTATGTGAAATGCAATGGTGCTTATGATTAGGTTAGGGCATAACTGGGGGTAAAAATGAACCTAAAAGGAAAATTGGAAGGGTAAATTTATTAAGGGCCCTTATAAAATAGGAGTTTTGGTAAGGGTGTGCAATGTTATTTCTAAAACCATAAGGGGTATTCCTAAAATAAGACCTAAATTCAGAGGGAGTGAAATTTAGCCTCAGAATCTAGATCATTTTAATGTATCTTTGTTTAATTATTTTCTATGTTATATCATCCATGGTATATGGTGTAGGATGGGAGGCTCTTTTTTATACTAAAAATAACCCCTGTTTGAACAATTTGTAATACAAAAAATTGAATATTATTTGTGTAATGTTTATATTTTAAATATTACTTTTTTTTACTTACACAATTTAAAATTAAAATAAACAGGGATAAAATAAGATAGAGGTGGGGGAGAGAGAAAAAAGAGGTATGTGTAGATTAATGAAATTGTTTGACATTGAGAAGAGTCGAATGTGTTAATTGAATTGTTAGACATTGAGAACAAATTTTATATCATTGGATCAAAGTAGATAAAAAGTGGATCAATCTTGACCATTATCATACTTTTATAAATTAAAATTTTAATTTATTAACTGTAATATTATATATAAATGTATAATTATCTGCACGATGTCTAATTGAAGACTATATATTCTTGTGTGTGTGTGTCTGGCGGAGCCAAGCTTTGGCCTATGCCCCTGCCCCCTCAATTTTTTAGAATTATATTTTATACCCAAGGATTCTCTTTGCGGATGATTCTCTGTTTTTTATTAAGGCAAAGGAGCAGGGCATCATTAATTTGTTGGGAATCCTTGGGAATTTTTGTATGGCATCAGGACAGTGCATGGACTACCACAAGTTTGGCATCTTTTTTTCAACAAATACAACGACGGATCAAAGAGTCCATCTCTGTCATCTTTTGGGAATGCAATCACTTTCACTTGAGTCCAAGTATTTGGGGCTCCTTGCCGTCTGGGGTAGATCTAAGACTGGGGTTTTTGGGTTCTTATTAGAACGTGTTCTAAAAAAGTTGCAGGGTTGGAGAGGCTTATTGCTAACACAAGGCGGGAAAGAGATTCTAATAAAAGTTGTGTTTCAAGCCATTCCTTCCTATGCTATGTCGGTTATCTTATTTCCAAAGAGTTTTTGAGACTAGTTGTATAGGTATGTTAGGAATTTTTGGTGGGGAATGGGGGGGGGGGGGGGGGGGGGAGAGAAGCGTGGAATTAATTGGAAAAAATGGGAGAAGATGGTGGAATCAAAGGCGAGAGGGGTTATGGGCTCTAGGGATTTTCATTGCTTCAATCAAGCCCTTTTGGCGAAACAAGGGTGGAGAATTCTTCATCATCCTGATTCCTTTTAGGTAAAATTCCTTAAATCCGTCTACTTTCCTGATTGTGACTTTATGGTGGCGACGAAGGGAGCCAAGCCCTCTTGGTTTTGGAGCAGTTTACTGAAGGGAAGAGCGCTGCTGGTGAATGGGCTGTCATGGCAAGTTATGGATGGCACTATGATCAATATTTGGGATGATAAATGGCTTCCTCGTCTTCCACGGGCAGCTATTTCCACTGCCAGGCCTCAACCAGGCGAGATTGAGCAAGTCAGTCAACTCATATCTCTTCCTGTCGAGGTCTGGAACACCGATTTATTGCACTCCCTGTTCAATGTTGCCGAATGTAAGGCCATTCTGGCTATCCCCATTTCGAAGTTTGGTGGGAGCGAGTAGGAGAATTTGGCATCCTAGTTCGACTGGAGCGTATTCTGTTAAGTCAAGTTACTCCTTGGCCGCCACCCTCAAATCCTCCTGCATTTGGAAGCTAGCTCATCTTTTTCTCTTCATCCAAATCTTTGGCATGTTTTTTGGCATATGGAGGCTTTCCCGAAAGTCAGACATTTCTGGTGGAAGGCATGTAATAACGCGTTGGCTACTCGGGAAAATCTTTTCAAAAGGAGATGTGCTATCTCCTTGTTGCCCAATTTGCTCTGACAAGGTGGAGTCTATTGAACATCTACTGTTTGGTTGTGAGTGGACATGAAAGGTATGGTTTGGTTCGGAGCTTGGTTTCAAATTCGCAGAGGAACTGAATGTGCTAACGATTAATTGGTTTTCATCACTGCTGGAAGCCATCATTGATACTGTTAAGTCCTGTGTGATTATGGGCAAAGTTGCGACGATTGCGTGGACTATTTGGAAGGGCCGAAATCTACTGGTGTTTAACCGCGAGGAACCTAATGCCCTCACCACTGTTTTCCAAGCCAAGCTATCATCGAGCAACGTGATTTCGGTGCATTAAAGGTCAGACAGGTGCCGAACGTCTTCTATCAGGTCAGTCCCTCCTCTTCCTCAGCGGCTTCAAGGTCCAAAAATTTGTTGCGATGGAGCGTTCAAAGAGGGGAGTGCTGCTATGGGAACTATTTTGAGGGATACAAGTGACTGTTTTTTTGGACGGAATTGGAAAGCGTATCCTTGTTGTCTCGTGTATTTTTGCGGAGGCAGCAATTGTAAGAGAAGCCTGTTTACTTGCTAGTGCATTACAGCTTCAGTCTTGTACTACTGAGAGTGATAATCAGGAGGTTATCAAGCTCAGCTCAACCGAGGGTGTTCCTCCTCGGGCAATACGTGTTTTTGTGGAGGATATCAGATCTTATTCTATACACCTTAATCTTAGGTTTTTACACAAGCCCAGAGCTCTTAATAAGACAGCTCATTGGGTGGCCGCTAGTACACTATCCACTTCTCTTGCTATGAATTGGACCAATTCCCCCCTATTAGAGTTTAAGGTCTTTTTTGCGTTTGATTGTAACCAAGTTTTTCCTACATAAATGAATCTATTTTGTTTTTGATCCAAAAAAAAAAAATTAAAATTATATTTCAACCCAGAAATTATATTCTTATTTTTTACTTTACATGGTCTCTCAAGGTATCAAGGTTATATTTTACATCCTTAAATTGTGATCTTGGTTGCTTTACGCCTCAACTATTGATTTAAACACATTGGACCCATAAGTATTCAAAATAGTCTCGTGAACTGCCTTAGTCCAAAATGTAATAATTTAAGCAAAATTAAAATTTAAAAATCCGTGCAAAAATGATAAATGACTTCAATTTAATAATCGAAGGAAAAAAGATAAAATCAAGGTAATAATGAAGAAGATGAAGTGTAATTTTTCCGAACTTTATATGTAGGATCCAATGTTGTATAGAATATGTATTTTAGAGATGCGCACACACTCTTTGTCATTTTATTTGCATTCGCACACGTTGCATCAGCATTGTAAAATTTAATTGTACCAAATGATTATATAATGGCATCAAACTGAATTTTTTTTTTTTTTTGAATGAATCTGAAATAGTATTTCTTGTAATTGATTTTAAAAAAATAATTAATATTCTAATTTTTAAAAAATTAACTAAAACTATAATTCATCGTGTGAAACTTATTTTCATAGTTTCTATACAACAAAAAATTTAATGCTATTGATAGTTTATCGGCCCCCTCAAAATAAAATTCTGACTTTGCTGAGTATGGAAAAATATCCAAATCAACTATAAGATGACAAGAAGATCAGTGGTGGTCGAATGATTCCGCAGTCCACTGTTAAACCGTTAATCGTAAATTCGAACTTCCTCATGTAATAGTTTAAAAACAGTAACCAAAAAAAAAAGAAGCAAAACTATAAGACGACAAAAATTATACTTGAAGCATGAAAGCTTCACACTGAATCCGTAAGAGATCACAGATCACGTGATGTGTTCTTCCATTCATGTGTATAAATTTAGCAAATGTCACGTGCGTTGTGTAGAAATGTATAGGCCAACAAGAAACACAGCTTGTGCTTTCCCATGATGCATGGCAAGTTGATGATTAAACTCAGCCATGAATATCTCACCCATGCAACATCCATGTGCTGCAATTTGGCCGAGGTCAATGATGTGATAATGAAAGAGATCTTGGGCAAGGTTTATGGTAACATCTTTCTCGTCTATACGCAGATTGTGTCCATAAACATATTATCATAAGGATCTTTCGAGATTTCGTAAATTATCTTAATCCTTCGAGAAAATATTCAGTCACCACACTCGGTGCCATGTGGTACTTGCAATCAATGAAAAAGCATCACACAATTTGTTTTGTCAGACACATCAAATTTTATAATATTTTATGTGTATATTTACTAAGAATATACTACAGTTTGTGTATAAATATACCGTAGTGTGTGTGTGTGATGTATACTATGCCGCACTACAAAGTGGTACCTACTAAGCACTCATGCTCCATTTGGTACGATAGAAAAATGGAAAGATAGAAAATTAGAAGAATGAAAAATTAAAAATATAGATAGTTTAAAACTTTATGTTTGGTAAGTAAGGAAAGTAGGAATGAAAAAAAAGTGGATCAATCAACTTTCCTTTCAACTCACAAAAATCAATCCCTCTAAAAAGAAAATGAATGGAAAGTTAATCAGAATTGTATTGAAATGTATTTTATTTATCTATGCATCATTTGGTATATACATATATTATATATACATTAATTTCATATATAAATACAATGATAAAATATGTAGTTATATATTTTTTTTAGATTAAAAATTAAAATTAAAATTAAAAAAAAAATTTCCATCTTACCAAGCACCAAAAAAAAAAAAAGTAATCATTTTTATTTTTCATCCATCCTATTAAACACAAAAGAAGAAAAGTGTATCATTTTTACTTTTCTTTCTTTGTAGGATAAAAAATGTATTCCTCCTACTTTTCATTCTTCATACCAAATAGAGTACCAATATTTTCTCCAATCCTAAACACCATTGTGTGTGGGAGAGAGAATTCAAGTCCCACATTATCATGTTATTATATGTGGGCATGTTTATATATTTTGTTGTTGTAAGATTATGTGGATGCGGGTTGTATTATGCCAATATGTTCAAATAGGGTATTTTTAAGGTGAAGTATTCTTTAAATTCTTCTTTCGGGGTAGAGGCTTAAACGAATAGAAATTTCATATAACCTCTTCACACGTTGTAAAGAAGAAGGCTCATTCATGGTCCTTTTGCTTTTAAGTACTATAAAGAAATTACATAATTCCAGCAGATTGTGTTAGTTTCATTGACCGTTAGATTTTTAGATGATTACCATTCAACAAGCAAATCCAAACAAGAAGTGGGTAGTTCAAATACACACATTGTTAGTGGGGAGGGGAGGGTGAAGTGTCGAACAGTGTAGTTTTGGGGAGCCTTTGGCGTTGGATTGGGTGTGCAGGGGTTGGTATGGCGGGAAGTTGAGAGTGGGGGGGAGATCATCAGAGATGGTGGTCCTTCCTCCAATTTGACAAGAGATGTAAGTAGAATTTAAAACTTACAAGGATGTCATTTGAAATTCTTTGAAACCATAAGAGGGTGTCACTACAATATCCCTAAATTTATAGTATATTTTCATGCCATGTAATATTTGCCTCTGTATCATAATATTAGTGTTGTGTTTTACTAATAACAATACATTTTCTCCTCCATTAATAAGTCCTCGAGTCCATGACCTATGTTATATTGTCAAATATCGAAACATGGGGAAGGTTTAATTCTCAAATTCAGGTTCTAATGCTGGACACTATCAATCCAATACAAGTAATTTTACGTATGTTTGTGCCGCGTAAGCATGTGAATAGCAATGTTGCTTCCAACAACCAACTGTTGACACCATTCTACTCCATGGTGGCGTAGAAGGCACAGATATATATATATATATCAAGAACGGGCACCATAGACTCATTTGATAATTTTGAGAAGGAAATCATGAAACAATTCTACCTAGAGAATGCAGAGGAGGCACGGATCCAACTCCGTCGATTAAAGCATATTGACACCATTTGAGATTTGTGAAAGAGTTCACTATGCAAGTTCTTGAAATCTCGGATCTGTCCAACAAACAGTCCCTCTTCTTCATATGACCTTCAACCTTGGTCAAAGATGAAACTTATGTGTCATGAGGTGCAGGACATTACGACTGCTAGTGACTGCCGAATCCTTTATTGGCTACTCCAGTAAGAAATATGCCTCTAGGCCCGACGATAAGGGAAAGTCCAATACTGGTGACAAAAGGCAAGCAACAAAGAGCAAAGTACCCGTAAGGATAAGGGCAAAGTACAAGAAGATAGTGAGCCATCGCCATCCAAGCAGAAGTTGATTCCTATGTGCTGGTCCACACTGGGTACAAGATTGCCCGAAAAAGAAGACCCTTAATGCAACAACACCACAATAAAGATTGGCACAAGAACCAAATGCAATCACCATCATCACCGCAATCACGGACAAAGGCACCATATGACCACCTCAAATAGCTTCATTTACTGCCATTCTCTGTCACACATTGCCACCATGACTACCTCAATTAAAACATCGAATACGCCACTGCTTATCCATTGAAAGTTCATATTTTCTACCAAGGAGAAAAGTTTAAGCTAGCCAAACAACAGACCATAAGATTTCTAATTTTCATAGTTGGATTCTGAAGGCCAGTTCAAATCCCCCCCCCCCCTTTTTCTTTCTTTCTCTCTATTCCTAATCTCGTTCTCTTTTCTTGACAATATATACTCCTTCCTACCTGAATAGGGTCACAAGATGAACAAATTACCTGAATGTAAAAGCTAAGTTGAATCCATAGAGGGTATGACAGATAGATAGGAATTTTAGAACAACCATGTAAGCAAATTGTAGTAGTTACGGGTTGGCTATTCCAAAAATAAAAGCTGTTGGGCAAGAACAATTGGTCTTCCTCTAGCAATCATTCACACGCACTCACCGAGGGCTTTAACACTGAAATAAGTCATCAACCAATTCATCAACCAAAGAAATTAATATTCCCTTCTCAATCTCTAAACCCTCCTCAAATGCTTCAATCTCAAAGTCAACCCATTTCCCATATTGACTACTCATGTCCTTATCAACAACCTCATCCACCATCAAGTCTTCCATGCTTGTCCAACCAGATATCTCTTTGTACAATTCCTCTGCTAACCACTCTTTCCGATGGAACAGTGTTGTCCATTTTGCCCAAGCTTTGCAACTTCCACCAATAAGCCGCCCGCACCTAAATTTCAAACATTCGCACACACAGTCAAACAAAACTTTTCGCCCAAGCTCGAATTGTTCTTCCATACTTCTATTCAACTTTGTTCTCTGATTCTCCAACCGATCAAATAGATCGGGTGTTATCACCTGGTGGGCCTGACCCAAAGCAAAATCCTTCAACATCAAATCTGCATCACTTAGTATATCTTGAATATACTCAAATTCACAGTGCGATGATCCCTCAACATTTGCAGAACTGAATGCAGTAATTATACCCTTTCTATTCATGCTCCCAACAAATATAGATGTAGCAGAATCTGATAACTCTGGCTCACCTTCCACAGGTTGGGACTTTTGGGAAGAGATCCAATCGAGCATTTCATGAGCATCAGCAGATAAACACTGGTTGCATCCTGGAAAAGGAACATATCTTAAGTTACAGCAGGGATTTATAATCATTTTCAGATACTGCCTATAATACAAAATCTTTTTTGCACCCCACTTACATTGTATGAGGCCAGATTCTATAGTCTAAAAATGCTTAAAAAATGACAACAATTCCATAGGTTCCATAACACGTTATAAACAATTTATAAAATCCACGACTGAAAGAATATTCCTCGCCTCCTTTTATGATTGACAGCTTTGCTAATTGAAATTTAAAACTTGCTCCTCTCTGGACATAATCCTGAACTTCCTACTAGATATTCTCAAGGCCAGTAGCTTTCTGATTACGTGTTTAATAGATTCCTCATTCTTCCCAGATATGTGATTATAGTTTTTTGCTCGCCAGAGTTATTACTATTGCTCGAATGAAGAAAAAAATAAACAAACAAAAATCAAAGGTCTCAGTACTTTTACCAGTGCCAGTAAAATTTCTTGTGCAATCTGACGAGTTGCAACTCCCTTCCGAGAAAGGAGATTCAAAACTTGAGACTGGGCTAGGATATTTATAATCAGGTTCTTTTTCACGTCCACTGTTGTTGCTGGTACTGCTATGCTCTCCCATCTCTTCCATGCACTGAAACCAATGAAGAGGCTTGTTATGTACAAATTTTAACCATATACATGGGAATGCAATAGATTAACATTGTTTATTGAAAAGAAAATGAGAGCTATATCCAAACAACTGGAACATCACTGGTTCACCTCATTATTTCATCTCTCCGTTCGTAATGATTCCTCTGGCGTTACAACCTTGATCACAATGATGCTTTAAAATAATAAGCCAGGCTAGTTTTCAGGGCATCACACCTTCAACCACAACACCCATACTCTAAGGCCCCCAATGATGTGCCTTATGGGCAGAGGCCCCAGCCCAATAGGGTGGTGAGATGCCACAAAACCCCCAAGCAGTTTTTGCTCCCAAAATGACCAAAATACTATTGACACACTAAAACATAGCAATCTGTTATTAAGGCTCAAGAGAACAGCAAATTACATCAAACTAAAAAGTGCTCTTGCATGCACGGGGGCTCAACCACAATACACAAGTATACATATGGACTGATTTGGGATAAGGTTGGGGTTTGCCAACTGTCGGTGAGTAAGTTAGATTGTAAGGTCATTAGAGTTGGGAAACGCGAAGAAGAGAGGAATAGAAAGGAATATGGAAGAGAGTAGTGTGTTAGTGTTACACAGCCACATCCCAAAGTATATATACCCTCAAAGTACCAAAAATACCATTAAGGGTTACATCCTATATAAAATAACATAACACTCCCCCTCAACTTGGTTCATAAATGCTTCTCATCCCCAACTTGCAAATGATAAGATGAAAAAATTCGTTACTAAGCCCCTTTATGAAAACATCGGCCATTTAATTTTCTGATTTTAAAAGGAGCACGCAATCAACCCTTGTTCAACTTCTCTTTCATGAAGTATCAATCAATCTCAACATATTTAGTTCTATCATGTTGAACTTGATTGTGTGCAATGTTGATAGCAACCTTATTATCATAGTATAGTCTCATAGACCCATCACCACGAATTCTGAGCTCATTCAGTAGGATTTGGAGCCACATAAGCTCACAAACTCCATGAATCATTGCTCTGTATTCAACCTCTACATTAGACCTAGCTACCACAACTTGCTTTTTATTTCGCCCTGTGATAATATTTTCTCCTATCAAGGTACAGTAGCCTAAAGTGGATCGTTTGTCCTCAACTGAACCTTCCAAGTCTGCATCAATGAATGTTTCTAGCTTCGAGTAACAATTGTTAGAGAACAAGATCTCTTTTCATGGGGCCGACTTGGATATCTCAAAATACGGTGGACAGGTTCAAGATGAAGGACTAGAGGATCATGCATGAATTAATTTATAACTCCCACTACATAAGCAATATCCGGTCGAGTGTGAAAGAGATATATCAATCTCCCCACCAATCTCTAGTATCTATCTTTATCCATAACACCACCAACCCCATTCACCAGCCAATGGTTGACTTCAATAGAAGAATTTGTTGGTCTACATCCCAACATACTAGTTTCTCCAAGAAAGTCAAGTACATATTTTTCCTAGGAGATAAAAATGCCTTTGTCTGATCTGAAAACCTCAATGGACTCAAATCTTTGATTTCAAACTCCTTAGCCAACTGAGCTTTAAATTTAGTGATTTCATGTACACATTCCCAATGATCACTATGTCATCTACATATATAATAAGTACATCTATTTTACCACCTACATGTCTGATGAAATATACTATGATCAACATGACTCTAACCAATCAAACCAGGCTCTAGGTGATTGCTTCAACCCACAAAGTGACTTCTTTAATATACATATTTTTCCTTCAGTTACCTGAGATGAATACCAGGTAAAATCTCCATATATATCTCCTCCTCCAAGTCTCTATGGAGAAAGACATTCTTCACATCCAACTATTGCAAGCTTCAACCAAATTAGCTACACAAGAGGACACGTGCAGATAGCCACCAGTCTTGCCTTGTATCTCTCAACTGAACTAACAACATATTGTTTGCCAGTGAACACCCATTTACACCCAACTGCTCTTGCTCCAATAGGAAGTAGAACTACTTCCCATGTGTCGTTCCTTTTTAGGGCTCTCATTTCCTCCACCATAGCTTATCGCCACTGTAGATCAGTAAGAGCTTCCTTCTAACCCTGACGAATATAAAAGAAAGCAAAAAACAAAGGTACGATAGGATGGAGACAAAGAATCATAAGAAACAAAGTTAAATATAGGGTATTGAGTACAAGCTCGAACACCTTTTATAAGTACAATAGTAAGCTTAGAGTCATCAAGAGTTGGATCATCAATAACTGGGGTAACAACTAGAAGCTCATCACCTAATAAATCAGTAGGAGATGCTAGAACTAGAGTAGAGGAATTCAACTGACCCGACGACACACAGGCGGTCTATACTATTTGACGCCGAAAATAAGTCTTCAGAGTACCAAGTGAATCATTGGTACCAACATTCTGTTACTTTCCCTTATTATTATCCCACCAGAAAGACAATTGAAGAAAGGGCTTCTGACATGTTATCTCTTCCTCAATAGTAGTGTTCTCCCCCTAAAGAGATGGTTGGAGAGTAGAGAAAAAAGACTCAAACTCATGAAAGGTAACATTCATGCTAACATACATCTTCTGAGACGAAGGATGGTAGCACTTATACCCCTTTAAGTGGGAGAATAACCAACAAAAACACACCGCAGATCCTTAGGATCAAGTTTCCCCCTAGATGCTCTGTAGTCAAGTACAAGACTGACACCCAAAAACTTTAATAGGATCAAGTTCAATAGGAGACTTAAACTGCAGGACACTAGAAGATGGGCGATTAATAAGATCAGCAATAGTAAGAACTGCATCTCCCAAAAAATATGGGAAAACATTCATAATAAACATCAACGAGCAACCTCAAGAAGATAGCGGTTCTTTCGTTCAGCAACACCACTTTGTACTGGGGTACTCACACAAGTAGTTTGATAAAGGATACCACTTTCATTTAGGTAAGAGCAAAATTCTCCATCAATGTACTCAGTTCCATTATCACTGCAAAGGACTTTTATTTTAACATCAAACTAGGTACCAAACATTTTATGAAAGGAACGGAAATAAGAAAAAATTTCATTTTTAGTGTGTAGTAAGTAAACCCAAGTAAGATGAGAATAACAATCAATAAAAATGACAAACCAACAATAACCTTAGAGCAATACCACACGAGAAAATTCCCACGCATCAAAATGAATAATAACAAAAGGAGCAGTACTTTTATTATTAGTTTTAGGATAAGAAGAGCATTTGTGCTTGGCAAATTCACAAGCATCACAAACAAAAAATTGTCTACTATAATGCTTTACTAGACTAGAAAAAATATGCTCTAAAACACTAAACGAGGAATGTCCCAAACGTCTGGGCCACTAAGATAAGATCTAAAGTGCCAAAACACCATCTGCTTGAAGAGCTTGACAAATAGACCGTGGAAAATCTTAATCATCCAGGACATATAGACCAACATGTGATTTACCACTGCCAATTATTTTTCTCAATTCAAGTTCCTAAAAGATACAATGAGTAGGAAAAAGAGTCATCGAACAATTCAAAGATTTCGTAATACTACTAACACACAATAAGTTAGTGAAGAAATTGAGAACATCGAGAACAAAAGAGAAGGATAGGGTGTGTGAGCAATTAAGTGAACCTTTCCCAAAAATTAAGGATAAGAATTCATCTGCCACCTTGACTTTATCCTTACCTGAAAATGTAGAGTATGAAGAGAAAAGAGTAAAGAACCTGTTAGGTGGTCTATAACTCCAGAATCTATTCTCCAAAGAGCAGATGATGATGATGCAATAAACATACTAGATATACATATATAAGCAAAGTTAGAGGAAAAGGCATAATTAGGAGCTGTGGTAAAAGAAACATCAAGTCGAACGATCATATACCAAAGAGTCTGGATCTCATCCTGAGAAACGATAGAAAGGGTGGTGCCACTAGACTGAGGTGGAGTCTCTGAAGTTTCAGTTATATGTGTATGAGATTGCACATTCCCACCTCAACCTCCACCTTAGCCACCACCTTGTACATGTGTAGGCTGTCTAGTCAATTTCAAACAAAGCTCTCTGGTATGTCTTATCTTCCCACAATAATCATAATTTTAAGATATCCTTGGCATTAATGCCACTCAACTTAGGAGACTTGAATTGGATTGTCCTCAGGTCCCGCGAAGAAATAACAACTAACACAGACTGCTACTGAATAAGTGCATGAACCATAGCAATCCTTCTGCTCTCCTCCTACTAGATATGGACATAGGTCTCCCGTAAATTGTGAAATGGACTGTTTGCTAATTTGGAGAGAAGGATTGTTTGCTAGAGCACCTAAACAGCTCAACCCACTTCCTTCAGTACTTACCCTAGTAGACATCGCACTACCTTCCGGCATGCTTACACAACAGAGCTAACACCAAATAACCAACAATCGTAGAAAAATACTATCAAAGAAGTAGCCCACAATCGGAAAATACTCCAATAGCAACCAAAAAGCACCCGTATAGTAACTCGGAGCAAGAATAGACTTGGAAGGCCCTTTGTGAAGCAACCCAAAGCTAAAAAGTCGTTGAAGCACCAAGAACAGAGGCACCGATGGTCTGTGAGGACCAAAAACCAACTAAAAACCACTCTAGCTGCAACAAGGGACTATGGGCACAACACAAGAGCCCTAGTCGAGCCTATTCGAACAAATTCCACTCCAAAAAAACCAACCAGATTGGTGAACAACAATATAGATAAAAAAAAACAAGCCGAAAAACTGAAAAAACCACTAGAAAATCAAAAAAACAGTCGGATGGCTCCAAAAAATTCAAAAAAATATTCATCATACTCATAACATTAGTCGAATCATCCTTGTTAAAATCAAAAAATTCTGACATATGTTGATGCATGTCAGTGTCTGACAAGCGTCACTGTTTGTTGCAAGTTGATACGTTAAATTTGATCGTAAGCTATGAGGGTTAGGAAACAAGAAGAAGAGAGGAAGAGAAAAGAATATTGAACAGAGTAGTGTGTTAGGGTTACATAGCTACATTTCGTTATATATATAACCCCAAAGTACCAAAAATACCCTTACGGGTTACATCCTATATAAAATAACAAAGCATAAGAAACTTCAATCATTTGTGAGCAACAATAGAACAACAACACAAGAAAGAAAGTAAAAAAAGAATTCTCTGCATGATTGAAATTCACACTTATATCAATGAAAAAGTTTCACACCCATTCCATATCCAAGAGAGAGTCATTCATCAACTTTGATCTTGTTTTAAAGGAAAGTAGCCTTTTAAAGGTGCGAGAAAATACTAAAACCGAACAAAAACCTTTTCAAAAAACAGGCTCAACAAATTTCACTGTTAGAATCAGATTTCCTTAGTATATAAAGCTTTAAAGCTCCAGAGTATAACCCAAAAAAATAGTGCTACCTTAAATAAAAGGACTAAAAATTAAGGAAAATAAAAATAGGAATTTGCAACATAGAAATTTCCACTTATTAGTGTCAGCAAGTAAACTTTCTAAACTCACCAAGGAAGTGCAAATACATATACAAATACAACAATTAACAATACAACAAAAATCGAGAAAAATAAAATACAGAGATTACTATGGTAGTCTATAATACATTTTATATTTTTACTATTATATGATGATTTCATAATAATAATTTTCAGGAGATTCTTAATAGCAATTCAAAAAATAAGCAAATTTTGTTTTCAAAAAAAAAAAAAAATCAACCTAGCGTAGTATACTCACTTAAGTATATGCGATTAAGTAAAAGAATCAGAATTAATATTTAATATGATGAGTTTTAGGAAAGTGTCTTTTGCCAAAAAAAAAATAGGGTATAATCAACTCATTTGTGGTAGATAATGCTTAAAAAACACCCTCGTGTTTTGAAAGATCATATGGATTTTTCTTTATATCCAACATGCGAATTCGAGAAAAGAAGGTAAAGATTAAAGTTGAAAATTATACATATTGCATAGCGTATCAACTTCGACAAAGTATATTTTCCTTGGAACACATATCCAAGATGTATCAAAAAATGAATAAATATTTTATTAATTATTGGAGATGTATAGTTCATAACCAATAAGTATTTTCAAGTATCAGACAGGTATCATAATATCCAATTAAGCGTTTGATATAAGATACTTCGACATAAACGGCGTATAGTTGGATGGAATGGCCAATGGAAATTGAGGAAGTTAAAAAGTTGTGTTTGAATCTAGCAGAGGCCCCATGTCTGGATGGTTTCTCAATGGCTATATATCATAATGTTGGGATATGATTTGATGACAGTGAAAGGTCAATGCAATCACAAATGCTACATTCATATGTCTCATTCCAAAAGGAAAAAGAAAAGAAATTAAAAATAAAGGACTTTAGACCAATTAGTTAAGTTTCAAATTTTTATAAAATCATTGCCAAAGTTTTATCTGAAAAGCGAAGGGAGTGCTTAAGTGATACTATATGTAGTTTTCGAAGGGCCTTTGTGCAACGGAGAGAAATGTTGAATATAGCTTTAGTGACTAATGAATTTATAGATCTAGAGGAATGGAAGGTATTATGCTCAAAATTGGTTTTGAATATAATCATGTAGATTGGGATTTCTTAAATTTTGTGTTGGAAGCAAAATTGATGGAGAAGATGGATTACAGGTTGTATGTAGTTAGTGAGCTTTACAGTTAGTTTAAATGGTAAACCAATGGTAAAGTTTAAGTCATCCAGAGGTCTCAGGCAAGGTGGTCCTTTATCGCCACTCTTATTTAAACTTGTGGTAGACACGTTTAGTAAGTAGGTTAGTTGTTAGGAGGGAGAAGTGTGATCTAGTGGAAGGTTTTGTTGTTGGAAGAGATAGGGTTCCAATGTCACATTTGCAATTTTCAGATGATACTACATTTTTTCCTTCAGAGGATGAAGAGTAGTTTTGAATCTTATGAAGATAGTTGATGTGTTTGGTGTAATATTTGGACTTAAAGTTAACAAGGAAAAAAGTTTGGATGTTGGGATAAATTTTAGTCCAGATAAAATTTCTCATTTGGATTTGGGGTTGAGATGTTTTGTTAGGAGTAGCCTCTTAAGTATTTAGGGCTTCCTTTAAGTGGTAATCCATCATCTTTGTGGTTTTTTGGCATCCAAAAATTGCAAAAGTGAAAAAAAATTGCATGGATAGAAGAAAACTTTTATCTTTGAAAAGGGGTAAATTAACACTATTTTAGTCTTGTGTAGCGGCATTGAGAATTAAAAAGATGATGAGAAGTTTCTTGTGAGAAGGGGGAGGTGAAGGAAAGAAGGATCACTTGGTTTGATGGAAGATTGTCTCTGTCTAAAGAAAAAGGTAGCTTCTTAGTGGGGAATTTGATGGCTAGAAACATAGCCTTACTTGGGAAATAGTTTTGGAGATTTCCTTTGGAACAAATTCATTTTGGTATGTTGTTATCAAAAGTAAATACGGTCTACAACCTAATGGGTGAGATGCTAATGTGGTTGAGAAGGTAAGCTACATAAATCCTTGAAAATTTATTTATAAGGAGTTACCTTATTTTCTTATAATGTCAAGTATGTGGTCAGTAATGGGTTTAAAATTCAGTTTTGGGAAGATATTTGAGTTTGAGAGTCCTCGTGTTCGATCTTAGTTTCTAGTCTTTACTCTCTCTCATGATATCATGGTCATTCTATTGCATCGTTTGGTAGGTCAACATCCTGTCCAATCTCTTGGGATTTTAGATTTCGTAGACACGGAGTTTTATGAGTTGGTATTACTCCTTCTTTGCTTAGCAATGTCACTTTAACAAGATTCATTAGATCATAGAGCTACGATAATTGACTCAACGAGCTCCTTTTCATATAAATACTTTTTTGAATATCTAATTGATGATCCATCACTTCTGACCTTTACCCATCATTGAGGAGATGGAAGGCTAAAGTGCCTTTGAAGATGCAAATATGTGCATGGGTGATATTTCTCATGGCAAGCAACCTTAGCCCAGACGATGTGCTCCAAAGGGAGAGAATACTTGTCTTTCACCACAATGGTGTGTCATGTGCAAAGATAATAGTGAAAGTGTGACCAATCTTTTTTTGCATTTTCCTATTGTTGATTGCTCTCTCATTATGGACAAGTAGCTTGGCTTGATTGGATTTTGTTGGGTAGCACCACACTCCATGTCTTATATGTTTTGTTTGGATATTCAAGGCTTTGGTGGAGGTGGGAAAGGAATTGCTCTTTGGCAATTTGTTTTTTTTTTTTTTGGGCATCGGGTGGGTTATTTGGTTCGAAAAAAATTCTAGAATCTTTAAGGATAGAAGTGAGATGGTGAAAGGATTGTGGAATTTAATCTATTTTGTAACCTCTTTTTGGACTTCGGTATCTAAATGAGTAAAGACTTTATGAATGTTCCATTATTTGCTATCACGGCAGATTAGATTGCATCTTGTGAATTATAATCACATTATTAGGGTGTTGTAGTGCTTAGCCCTTTTTTTCATATTTCTCGGTTTTGGGTAGCACTTCTTGTCAACCTTTAGCCATTTTTTTTTTTTGGGTATGCTTCTACTTTATTCATTAATAAAATTTTGTTTCCGATCAAAAGAAAATTCTAAACAACCTCTGTGCTCACCACACAGCTTAACTAATTCTAAACATTAAAAATAGACAAGTGTCATAGCTTTAGTAACTAATATACCCTTACACATGACTAAATTATCTAATTTCTTGAGACTTGCTGCAGCACCAAGTAATGGCAACCACATAGGAAGCAGCGTAAGTTCCAACATCAATTTATAGATGAACATCCTTCAGACCGTGGTTTAATACCACCTGAACTGGGGGACAGTAAACAGAACAGGCTGCTCCAGAATGCTGATCTCAGCTGCATTCCCATGACAATACTGAAAAATAGGGCCCTCAAAAGAGTGAAGAAAACAGAAGCTCCAATTCAAGTATTTTCCATGACAGCACCTTGCTGAACACAACAACTATGCAGGGACTGTCAGCATTAGGACTCTTCAGATTTTGGTCCATAACTGGTATTAAATGATATAACTAATGGCTCTGGCATCATCATTTCAAAATACATTCCCAGTCCCCATTGACAGGGAATACTGCATAGGACAGACTTGACACAGACGGAACATTTAGCATTATTTGGGCTTCTCCTTACTCAGCATAGGAAAATGCCATGTATGAAAGAACAGTAATCGAAGTTGAGAAGTATAATAAATGGAGACATACCAGCCACTTTTGTTTTGCTTTGACTTGCAGTTCATCAACCAAAGAGCAATCGAAGTCATCTTGAATGTCTGGTTTGTCCTCATGTAGACGAAGCTGATACCTCTTGTCATGTTCCATTGGCATGGTGTTTGCGACACTGGGAGTTGACACTGAATCTTGATAACTAGAGGTAGCACTTGAAGCAGACCCTTCTTTGAGCAGGTCATAATGGGATGACTCAACTCTACATGCTAATTCCTTGAGCTTCTGCTCCAAAAGCACACTCAGAGCATCACCACCAATCACATTCAACCCCAAAGAAGACAAAGTTGAACTTTTTGAGTCAGATTGATTGTCATAATAGCTGAGGCATAGGTTCTTATTCTTTCCTGTGACCTGACCAGATGCTTGGGGTCCAGGAACTGATTTTTTGATAGGAGATGTGAACGTAAACGATACAACATCTGAGCCCTTTTTTGCGGCAATTGGATCCCACTGTGTGCCCCCATCCATCGTAACATTACATTTTACAGGCCTTTCATTTTTGTTCACCTGCACTGTGTCAACCGCACAGTCATCAAACTGAATATCCCCAATGATAGGGCGTTTCTTTCCAGAATAACTTCTTGTTTTTGACGATGACAATTCCTTGATAGTGTCAGCCGTCACTAAATTCATCTTTCTAGGCACAACCACAGCGTCTACAACTACCTCATTCACTGTCTCAGTTGACCTAGACGAACAATTCATGGACAGAGTTTTTATGTCTTCATGGCGGGGAACTGATGGTTTTGAACTTACCCTGCCTTTATTGGATGCACAGTTCTGCTTCTGGTTATTCTGCCTGAGCACATCAGAACTCCTGCCTATGGAAGCTTTTTTCCGCATACTCTGTTGCATATATGGCTGGTTGTTGCCATCGTGGCCTGACTTAACCTCCTTATCTTCCTTTTGGTTCACAGAACTCCTATGACCTTTATAATTCAATCCATCTCTTCTCTGAACATTGACCTTTGCTTGAACTGCAAGTGAAACTGGTTTCCCCTTTTTCTTCAAACTTGCAGAACTACCTCTTTCTGATACTACAGAAGCCTTGGTCAGTTTTTTACCTTCTGATCCACTACAGCTACTATCACTAGGATGTCTTTTCATATACTTGACAGATCTGTGCTCTTTGGGTCTTTGAGATGCTTCAGGAAGCCTGGATGTTTTTTGTGCAGCCTCGATCTTCTCTTTGAGATCCCGAATTTTCAAGGGAACTGAGGAAGACCTAAAGGATGGAAACTTGCCATTGATAGTTGATCGAGGACTCTGCTCAATTATTTTGGCAGCTGCCTCCATTATGTAGGCCGCATTTTTTGTTGGGATGAATCCAGGACTCTTAATAGGAGACAACAGCTTATGGTGAGTAATTGGAATGGATTTAGCTGATTTTGGAGGCAATATTTCAGTCTGAAACCTTTCAATAGGTCGGTTCTGCAACTTCTGCAGCTGCAATTCCACGGGATTCCTAGAGAATCCATCTAATTTATCTCTTATGTTTCCATAATCTACGATGTGATGTTCACTCCGAAAATCAGTTGTTACTTTTGCTGTAAGAGAACCCCTAAAAGAGCCAGAGTCAAAAAATGGAGCAAAAGAGGACTCAGAAACATTTGAACTTGGCAAAGAATCCAGTCCCATAAGTCTAGCAACCACCCCTGGTGCTCTCGCTCCACACCCTTCATCACCACATACAGATGAAGCACATCTATAATCACTACTTCCTTTGATAGTTAAACCAAGCCCATTTTCGTGAACCTTCATCGAAAGGTGTGGCAACAAATACACAAAATTATCTAATTTTAATAATCATCCCATATCAACAATAGGATTAAAGAAATGAAAGCGATGCATAAGAGAGAGAGCGAGAGAGAGTCCTACCTGTTGAAGCCGGGAGATGCCCAAACTATCAAAGTTTTCTTTTCCATGTTTCGAACCTTCTGCAGGCAAAATCCCACAAAGAAATCATAAAGTGGAATAACCAGCAAGGAAGAGGTAAAAACAAATAAGCATGTTAACAATATGCACAGAGAGGGACAAAATGTACCAGGTAATTCAGACTTGTTTGAGAAAAGCTTCCTGCAAGATTTGGCATTCCAATCAAACAACTGAAGAAACCCTCCCTTTGAACCTCGTTTCTCAACCTCCATTTTCTCATCTACAACCCAAATTCACTCCCAACACCTACAAGGGTACACCAAAAAACACAATCAAACAAAACCCATTCGCTGTTTAGCACCAGATATAGTCATGCTTTAATAGTCAATAAGCACAAGACATTGAAGCTATCATCAAACTCACCCCCTAATATCACTCACAATGCAATGCCCATTCAGATACCCAAGATAGCTTCAAATCAATAGTGAAATGAAGCAAGGACAAAGCCCATGTTTTGATTTATTTGTGTTTTGATTTATTTGTGCAAGGAACTTCGGACAAATTACTTCGACAATGGAGTATAATAACAGGTAGTGTTTAACAACAAAAAAAAATTCATCTTTCGAATCCCTACATAGCTCATTTAATTATTCAAGTTCTCAAGATCCCTAATTTTCACCGGAAAGAGGAAGTCCGAAAACCCATTATGGCCCCATGTAAACCCAAATCCTTTCTGCAATGATTTTTACCTAACATTCTCAGAAAAAGAAGTCCACACACTGATACACATCAAAATGAAAAAAAAGCATAAAATTTGAATCATTTCAATCGAACTCATCAGAAAATGTTCATATGAAGAAAGCTTTCAGTTTGAGGACTATGATCTTTTCCTTTTGTTCAGCAGAAGTAGAACATGAACGAATGTGAAGATCTGCAACGCCTAAAGCATCAGGAGGATTTTGAACTGCTTGCCTTATTTTCTAATGTACGACCCAATCTCACTCCAACACCTATAAGGGTACAGAGGCGAACAAAATCAAACGAAACCCATTTGCTATTTAGCAACAGATATAGTCATGCTTTAATCCATCAACGTAAATATTCAAACAAGAAGAATGGAGTCAATAAGCACAATAAATCAAAGCTATCATCAAACTCATCCCCAGTGTCACTCACTACGTAATACCCTGCACATACCCAAGATAGCTTCACATCAAAAGTCAAATGAAGTCCAAACAAAGGCCATGTTTTGATTTACCAGTGCAAGAAACTTCAGACAAATTACTTTCCCTATTAGTTTTAACAAAGATTTTTATCTTATGTCTCCCTACATTGTTCATTTAGATATTCAAGTCATCAAGATCCCCAATTTTCACGAGAGAGAGAGAGACACTGAAAACCCACTATGGCCCCATGTAAACCCAAATCATTTCTGTACTGATTTCAACCCAACATTCTCAGAAAAGAAGTATACACACATCAAGATGAAAACAAAAACGTAAAATTTGAATGATTTCAATCAAATCACCAGAAAATGTTCATATCAGAAAAGCTTTCGGTTTGAAGACTCCAATCTTTTCTTTTCGTTCAGCAGAAGTAGAAAATGAACGGAGGTAAAGATCTGCAATGCCTAAATCATCGGGATTAGGATTTTGAAATGCTGTCCTTTTTTAATGTAGAGGAGACGCATGGAGAGTGCAGACAAAGAGTGCGTGGGTGGGTGGGTGGGGGTGTGTGCGTGAGAGTGAGAGAGAGAGAGAGAGAGAGAGAGAGAGAGAGGGAGAGTGTTTAAAATCCGGTGAGAAGTGTGTGAGACTTAGGGGTGCCATTAAAATATGGACAAAGAAGAGACAACCTCTTCGCCGTTACAAATTAAATAACTTTTTTAATCCCACCCACTGCCTCTGAAATTCATTCATCAATTTTTAAAGGATAAATTACACTAACACCCCCTAAACTGTCACCTTTTTTTACTTTGCCCCTAGACTATTATATTTCTCACATTGTACCTTAAACTAACACTTTTATTTCATATTACCCTAATTACAAATATATGTTATCTTTCTGGATGAAAATCACTGACGTGTCAGAGTAAAGTGAAAAAAATTACATAGTTTAGGGGGTAAAATAAAATTATTTTATATTAAATATGTGACGGACGTTAATAATTGGGATAATGTAAAACTAATTATATAGTTGATAGTGTAATATGAGGAATTTGGTAGTTGAGGACAAAGGAAAAAAAGAGTTATAACTAATGACAGTTGATGGTGCAATATGAGAAATTTGGTAGTTGAGGGAATAAAGTAAAAAAAATGTTATAGCTAATCATAGTTGATAGTGTAATATGAGAAATCTAGTAGTTGTGGGGATAAAGTAAAAAAGGGGTATAAGTGTAATTGACCCATTTTCAAAATTATGAAAACAAAACATTATTATTTGAAGAGTAAATTACACTTTACCCCTAATTATTATTTTTATTTTACTTTGTGCCCTCAACTATAAAATTTTTTCAAATTATACTCTAAAATATTAATTTTATTTCATATCACTTCAATAAATTACGACAAACTTGAAAATCTATCAAAGGAATGAGGAAAACCCCAAAGAGCTTTCCGTCAAGTACTTAGTACCACTTTATTTTACTTTTTTTGTAATCAAATAGTTGTGGAGAAAAAAAAATCTGTTAGAAAAAGAAATTTTGGGGTATAAGAAGGACAAAGTCATAGACGGTATTTTTTTTTTATTAACATGCACATGTACAATAGTCAGTTGCTTATTGTTAATATAGTTCATTCGCACGCGAATTTACTATCAAAAAATTGATACTCGTTATCCCTAAGAGTGATATGAAATAAAATTAATACTTTATAGTGCAATATGAGAAATTTTATAATTTAGAGTGCAAAGTGAAATAAAGATAATAATTTAAGGAGGTAAAATATAATATATCCTTAATCCTTATTCAAACCAGCAAATATAAATTGAGCAAAAAAATTGAAAAAAAACTACTACTCTTAATCAAACTTTTTTCCTTTTGCAAAATACAACGGAAGTAACTGTTCCTTTATCCAACCCCTTCTGATCACTAGGCTAAATTTGTTTTTTGTAACAAAAAATATTGTAACCATTTAGTTCTCAAATCCATGTTTGTAACAAAAGTTTTAGATATACGACCCCTCGTTAACTACATGCATCAATTAACTTCGAATTTCTTGTGACCATGGAATTCAAACCCAAAACATATGTTTACCTATTATTTTTTGTTCCGATGTTGATCGAACTGATGTGAGTTAGTAGAGTGAAATTCAATCAATTGTTTCTAGTATAAGTAAACTTACTTTGGACTTGACTAGTTTGGTCGGTCTCTCCTTTTTTTTGGACTAAACTTGTTCAATATTTCATATCTAATTCACAAACAAATCAAAATATAAGTAATAAAATAACTCTAAGAGCATAGTTTTGCCAATAGAATTGTGTTTTCTTCTAGCCTGGTGATTAAAAAAGGAGCATTGGAGTCGTAAAGAGTAACCAAACCCAAAAGAAAAGGGTGTCCTCAATTCCAAGAAATTGGGTATGTCCATCTGAACTCAGCTGCTTTAATGGGATATCTCCTTGAAAAAATTATTGATATCAAGTGCAGTTTCGGTAGTTTGGGACAGTGGTAGCTTTTGCATCCCCTATCCCCCCCACTCCCCCTTCATGATCTTTCCTTTAAATTCCAGGATCAATCATGCTGCACAAGTCTTTTTGTATCTTACACGTTGCCTAGAAATAATGCTGGAGTTTCAAGTTGCAATCATTTCTCGTGTTCCCTCTTTGTGGTTCCTAGTATGCCTTGCTTTGGGTTTCTTCACATTCGTTTTTGAGTTTTTTTTCTCTCTCTATTATTCCAAATTATAATATATATAAATATATCCACCAATGTTTTATATATATGTATATATAAACAAAAAAGACTAATTATTCGTAAGCTTTAGTAACACATCATATGTTTGAATTCAAAAATTAACCTCTTTAAAATATTGATAAAATTATTCACTATTTACTTCTCTCATATCCGATAATAGACAAGATTTTGTGGAAATGTTTATTTTTTCAGCTTGGAACTTGGTGGAAACAAACTTATCAATCGTGTCACATGAAGTGGGTTCGTGTTAGGTGAGTGGGTTTGTGTCAAAAAATATTTTACACATATTCGATTCGTTTATTAATTTGTACATAACAAATTTTATCGTTTCGGATTCGTGTCGTATATGAACCGTGTATCATATATATATATATATAGAGTCATGTCGTGTTTTTTTTTATTAGCTTCACTCATACCTAATTTGTTTTATTGATTGTGTTATGTCGTATCCACTCGTTTACAAAATAGATGACTTAAAAAAAAACTCAAAACTCTAATTTTATATTGTGCAAGTGCCGTGTTAAACAAATTATATCTTTTGTCAAATCACACGCAATTTCCCCTTGAACTTTATGTTCTTTTGCAATCTCAAAGTATCAAACTTACATCAGACCAAAAACAATAAGTAGTATCAAACCAACATCATTGGTAGGCCCCTGCAGAAGATTGCAATGTATAAGATCTTCGAGCATGGCCATGTCAGTTTCATGCCCTACAGATGACTTTCTTTGGGCCATTATATCATGCTCTTCTAACCTCATTAATTTTTGTTCAGTCCTCTTCCCCAACAACCATGAAAGACTATAATAAATCTTTCCCCTTTAAGATGTGTCAACTTCTCTTACAAAATTGGGGAAGCCCAATTGAACCTTGCCTTTTCGACCTTCAATTAAATATATTGGTTGATGAGCTTGTAAAGACTTGTGACATTGATGATATAAAAAGAGTCATTAAATATTTAACGATAAGCATTATTCTATATACTTAGTGTATATATATCTATCTATACCACTTCTAAATATCCCTTAATTACACTTAAAAACTTTTAATTAACTTTTTTACCCACGAACAATCTATATAATAAAACACATAGCAACTTGAATATTTATCTCTTACATATTTTTCCCCTAAAAATATCACATCACTCATTTATATCACATGTTTAATCATTTATATATTTTTTCCCTAAAAATATTACATCACTCATTTTTATCGTATGTTTAATTAATTTGTAGTTAATATAATTTTTATTTCAAACATTATTCATATACGATAGTATACACATATTGAAAAAAGTTAATAAAATAAGATCAATTTTTTAGAATTTCAAATTTTATATTTTATCGTTTCTTAAAACACGAG